ATGTTTCATTTCATTCGAATTAGAACAATGCTAAATCCATGGATGCAATGTTTCATTTACAATCAAATTAATATTATAAATTATCAATATTGAAAAGAATTTAATTGGAATTAGAACAATGGTCAATTTCATCTATGTAATGTTGCATTTCATGCAATACATTTTTACAATCAAAATAATATTATTAATTATCAATATTAAAAATAATTTCATTTCAATCAGAACAATGTTTCATTTTATGCAATAAGATTTGAATTTAAATCAGAATAATGATAAATACATCCATGCAATGTTACATTTCACGTTCAGTAGGTTTTCACAATGAAAATATAATAAATAATCAATATTTAAAGTAATTACATTTGATTATCGTATATTGGATGAATAATTGAAAAAAAAATATTATTTATCATATTGCGGATTAATAATCAGGTTGCTCAATAAACTCTCGTAACTTGTATCTACATATTATAATATATTTCTCTTGATTTATTCATTAATCCGAAGCACAATCAACTTAACGTTATTTAAGATTGAAAATGAATTATTGAATATACGTACAACAATTATTCTATGTACGGTATAAACAATTGATTTTCAATTAAAAAAATATCATTGTTAACGTTAAGTCGATTTATTTCTTCAATTAAAAAACATTCGCGTATGATTAGGAGAAAATATTCGAGTGATAAATTTTTTGCAAAGGTGTTTTTGTTTTCATCGTGGACAAATCAAATTTGAAATAGACAAAAGTAATATGTTAATAGTAATTTATTTTGGTGTCCACGAGGGAAAAGAAAACACTCATAGTTCCATTTTTTTTTCTCGATAAGCAAACAAAATAAAAATAAAAATAGAATCGCACGACACAACGAGGACGAGCGTTCAAATCCCGTCGCTTTTATTTAACAAACAAACAAACAAACAAACAAACAAACAAAAGAAAAGAAAAAATACGCAATTTATTCTTCGATAAAGAAAAAAAAATATAAAAAAATAAGGAAACAGAGAATGCAGTTATTTGTGAGAGATAAAAATGAAAAAAAAGGGACCATGATCGGTCGAATCATAAACGTTACACGCATATTTACATGTAAACGTATATTTCCATACTACGTTGAACTATCGAGTGAATCTCATTGACAAAAATGAATAAATGAAAAGTATACAAGTAAAAGAAAAAAAGACAACAAATTGTAGAAAAAATGAAGAAACATAGAAAAACAAAAAAAAGAAAACTATTAATTTATTTGATAATTAATTGAATTTGTTTTTATTAGCATCAAAGAAGTAGAAGGAGGAGATTAACAAAACATTTCTTTTAATCAACTTATGAAAATTTATAATCTGGGATAAATTTATAATCTATTTTGTTCTCTTTTTCTATTACTTTCTCAAATAAAATTAGTATAAACTTTAAGTTGAAAAGTAAACTCTCAAATAAATAATAATAATAATAATAATAATAATAATATCAAAAGCATCGATTAGAATAATAAATTCAAAGTTGGTCACTCGATTATTTGATAATATGCGTGTAATATGCGTGTAATATACGGTAAAATACTTTCTACACTTGTGTGTGTTGTGTACATATGAAGAAATACGAGGGAGGGTGGAAGGGAGGGAGGGAGGGAGGGATCGTTGCAAAATAACGAGAAACGTGTGCTAAAAGTTTCGTCGCTACTTTGTCCTTGAATTTCTCGATTGATAATCGATCACGTCACAACTTATCAGAATTTGTTATTACGTTGGTACGACGTTAGGATAACTATCGAACGTTATGGTGTATGTGTATGTATATGTGTATATGTTTGTATGCGAGGATGCTTGATTGAATGTGAGTGCGCATATATATACATAAATTGTTAATATTAACAATAATATCTTGTGTATATACATATGGGCATGAATATGCTTCAATTTATTTGTTTATTGCATTTTATCATTTTTCCACGCAACAACATTGTTTGACATGTGTCATGATAGTCAAAACTCAATGAAAGGGGGAAAAAAAAAATAAAACTAGGATAGTACAATTGATTTCCTTTTTTTAGCATACACAACAAAGTAAGCTGCCTTGGCACAATTTACAATACGCGTTTGTTGTGTGATCATTAACATACAATATATATATATAAAGTGTTATATTACAAAACGTAAATTGATCAAATTTTGTAGAAATTTTTCTCAACGAAAGATTGAAAAAAAAAAAGAAAAAGAAATGGAGAAAGTAAACAAAAAACAAATATGTAATTACTTAAATCACTTGCGTATCGATTTCTTTATATAAAAAAAAAAAAATACAAACAAACAAACAAAGCATTTTCGCGTAAGTGTGTTTAATCGTTTAAACGAGTCAATTACGTCCATATCCTTTGTATAGAATCGTAGAATTTAGAATTAGTTATATAGTTAATCAATTTCTGTATAATATCGTTAAATATACATATGGTAGTATAATATATATATATATATATATATATACATGTACATTAGTAAAAATGAAATTGAAATAAGTAAAATGGTCCTATATAATTATAACTTTCTCCAAAGCTTTATATCTCATGAAAAGATTATGAAAAGTTTCTTCAAAATTAGTCAAATTTGTAATTTTATTTCAAAATCATTCTATAAATCTGAATATTAATTTTACAAAATACGTGATTATATATACTATTAAATATCGTGGGGACCAATGAAGAAAAACGGTTGAGAAACGTCCATTAATAAAACATCGATATTTTCATTGTAATTTAAAAAAGAAGAAAGAAGAAGAAAGAAGAAAAACACACAACAAACGAAAGCTAAATAATTATAATATTAAAATTATTTTTAAATTGAACAATTAATTAGGTCCCCTTTTTTAAAGGATCTTTTTCAACATAACAATTGTAATATAATAATAATAATAATAATAATTATAATAATAATAATAATAATTAAAGTTTCTAAAGATTTTCTTTAATCTAATTGATTGATTTAAAAAAAAAAGAAAAAATAAAGTCAGTTATTTTGTGATTTATATTCTGACATGTTTTCGTTGTTGTTGCTGCACTAGCTAGTATATATAATAATAATAATAATAATAATAATAATAATATCGTATATAATATTATATTTCACGTATATTGTATTTCACGTGTCCTCCTCTTGTTCAATGCATACGACGACATTGCATAGCATTTATAAAGTTAAATCGATAGTGTAACCTTAACTCGAATTACCGAGAGACTTCTCGTACACGTTGTTCTCGTTATTTCGCTCATTGATCCATCATAAAATAGATTAGATCGATAGATAGATAGATGGATAGATGGATAGTTAGATAAATAGATTTTAAAATAACTCGAACGTTCTTTTGAACCATCGGTGTAATATTGAATAATAATTGTTCAACGACCAAATTAGAATATTTTTCTTCTAATATATTCATCCTTTGATCTATTTTATCTTCTCCTATAATAAAACACACAGTTACCTCATCAAAACTTCCTTTTAATAATTATACAGGATAATTCGTTAATATTTCACGCAATTAAATATCGTATTGTAAAAGAAGTTGAGAATCACTGACAACTTCGTTCGTTCATTCATTCATTCATTCATATCATATGCAATTTTCGATAATCGATATCATTGATCGTATTTCCAGCTGATCGGAAGGTTACGTTGAGATTCATTGATAACTTCATTCATTAAATTTCATTTAAAAAGTAAACTTCATTTATTTTCCCCCCTCCACGTCGTAAGATCTTCGATAATCGATATTGATCGATGATGAGGGGTTATGTTCGATTCGCGCCTAAAAGTAACTCGTTTGAAATGAAAAACATCAAGTAGATAATTTTGATGTAACTTTTGACGAATCATCCTGTATATATATATATATAATATATATAATATATATAATAAATATATAAGTATAAGTATGTAAACGAAATGTATGTAAACACCCAGAACCAGCGGTACGTTTACCGCCTTATTGTTAGATGTAATTTTAAAAAGAGCGCTTACCTGCTATAATAATTGTTTATTAATAATACATTTAACCCTTTTGTTACAAAAATAAAATAAATACATTTTTATTTCAATTTTTATCCTACACACGTATCCTACGCACGATGTATGATTATGACCCACCCTTTATATGAGTCGTTAGTAACAAAAGGGTTAAACCTAAATTGTATAATTGTGTGTACGTATGTACATATCTCTGCAGAGTGTATGTATGTATGTGTTTGTATGTATGCTGCGTATGTATGTGAGTTCAACGATAATGCAACGATATTGAACGAAGGGGTTTTTTTTTTTGTTTAATATTATTTATAATATATTTTTCATTGATAAATATATATATATATATATATCAATAAGTTGTTGAAAAAAAAACCTATCATCAAAAATCAAAAATATTAATTGTTATTTCATTTTCTTATTTATTATATGGACGGGTATGCGAATATGCATGTAATATATATATATATATATATATGTCAATAGAGATGATTTTTGTGCAACGAAATTATAGTCATTTACATGAAGATAAAGATGATCAATAAGTTGTTTCATGAAAGATATTATGCATTTGTGTGCATTATCTTATAAAGTTTGTTACAAACAAGCAGTATGAAAAGTATTCCTCTTCAATGCAAATATGTATATTTACCGACCATCGGGATTAGGATCGTTAAAAAGACAAGAAAAGAAGATAATGAGAAAATAGAATTATAGCTTTAAGCAACGAGACCAAAATAAGTGTAACGATGAATTCTTATTCTCTTATATGGAAAGGCAATCCTTAAAGACAGTTGATTTAAGAGCGATTTTACAAAAAGATAAACCACAAACAAGAGAAAATAAATAATAATAATAGTAATAATAATAATAATACCTAATTTTATATTATTTTTTGTCTCTCCTGTATATAAATATATAAGTGTCACTAATTTAGAATTATTATAACAACAATATTGAACTATAAAATATATCGATGCTATATCAAACAGTCAATTCAAACAATTGTTCAATTATTCATTATTACAATTATTTATGAATTTGTCCATTTATGTAAAAACGGTAAGTATGATCACTGCATAAATATGAAGAATGAAATGAAATAAAATGAAATGATTGGGACCATCAGTAGTTTGTTTTTTTTTTTCATATTTTTTTTTTTTTTGTTTCGTTTAGAACATTAAATATACATTTTAATTAGTAAATTATTGATGATCTTTATAATATATAGATTATTGTTAGAAATTACATTAATTAAATGTAGACTCTAATCGAAATTCTCTCACATGAGTTAATTGTTTAGTTTGTACCGGTTCATGATTTTGTACATACATTGAATTAACACGTTTTATCTCAAAACGTGTCACTTGTAATACATAACAACCGACAATGCCTAATTTATTTGATCTTATTTCGCATACCATTATTTGTAAAGTATCATATAAATTTGGACAAAATGTATCTTCTTATCTCGTTAGGTTTATATTTAATATAATTTATACTTTTTTTTCATTATTAATTAGTATAATATTGCATTAGAACATTTCTGATTGGATTTCTTTGACAATTTTTTTCTATCTGATAAGAAATACATAATACGCGTGCAAATTTACATAATACAGAGATCAAATATGTAAAAACGAGTATTGCTGTTAGTATAGATAAACAAGATCGTATTACACATAAATATTTACAAAACTGCATAATTTGCAGTTTTACAAAATTACAACTCATCCTTTTTTTTTCTTTGTCAAGTATATTGCTATCGATACAAGTTAACTAGATTTCTCTATAGAAAATACAGAAATATAAATCCTACGTCTTGAAATATATCAAAAGCAAAATCTATTCTAATTATATCAATCATTTAAATATAGGAAATGATTACTTAAAAAAAAAAAGGCAAGATATATTATTAAAAGCTAATAAAAAGTATATTTAAATGAAGCTAAAGTATAGATAATAACACATCGATATAACGTTTCTTTAACCCTTTCATTCAAACTACCACCAGTATCCTTGTAAAGGACAGTAACATTAGTAGTGATTATCCTAATTGCGTATCTTGATTAACAATGGATTGTAATTCTGTAGAAATTAGTTATTGAGTATATCTGTTAATTTCATAAATGTATGTACCGTACAGTGAACTATGATCACGATTAACGTTACACACGATCATCCGTGTCAGAAAGAAAAGGTTAATAACGTCGATATTTCAATGAATACCTACTAAACGAATATTTACAAATTCCTTCATATACACAGTATAAATATATTGAGAATAAAAAACAAAAAAAAAGAATTTTGTTTATAATTCAGCCCACTATTCAAGCTTATAAGATACCTTAATTACTTCATTTATGGACAAGAAGTTGGTGTTCAATGTTTACCTAATTATATCATTTAAACGCATTTTATTCTTCGTGTACTTTTAAAATTGCACATATAAATCATGTTTCATTTTATACAATACATTTCTTCACAGCCTTCTTACGAAAGTTTAATGTGAGAGATAATTTGATACTGCACTTCTTGTACATATTCAGTTTATATCGATCAAAGTTTGTTAAGACTAAAGTCTAAAAAGATCTACACATGAAAAATAGTTCTATTTACACTATTCATGTGTTTATATATATATTCATATATACTTATCTTTCCAACCTTATTAGTATATATAAATATATGTGTATATATTTATATCTTACATTGTATATAGTGCTTGCAAAATTTTATATACATTAATAGAATGTACATAGCTACAATCAAAGACTGTTATCTATGTTATCTATGCATTGTGTTGTCCAAATGTTGCTCTGTTTTTTTTTTTTTTTTATTATATATGATTTATATGTGCAACTTTCATCGATTGCTATATATCTTGTTTGTCATCTTCTTCATTAGCTGCATGATTATAATCGTTACTAACATTGCACGACGACAAATTCAAATTAGTATCATCAAATTTATTATCCGAAAAATTATCAATGATAGACTTGGAACCACAATCGCTAATTTCTAAACGTGCATCTATCGACTGACATTGAGATTGTTCGTTTTCCAAATTATTTTGAGAATCTGTATCGCAGAAAGATATGTTATCACTAGCTTTGATATTAGAAATACTGGAACATCCATCAGAAGCATTTACATTGTTAGAGTTTTCTAATTTTTTCTCTAACTCAGCCCACGGATCTTCGAATACAGACTCCATATCGATAAAATCGGATATATCTACTTGGTTATGATCATCTTTGTTCATATTCTGTAACGCAAAGTACAATGTAGGAGAATCAATTGGAAATTTGAGAAAGAAATAATCAATGATAAGAAAGAAATCTAATTATAAAAGATATTATATATATATATATATATATAATATTAACACATTAACAATACATACCTTATTATGTCTTCGATGTGCATAACCAGAATTCTTATAAACAGGAGGACTATATTTCAAATATGGGTCTGTGCACGAAAAGATGTTAGGTTTATTATTATAAGAAAACCTATTATTACCCGGATTGAAATGATTTCGACGAAACTTCGAAACGTGTTTATTATTAGTGTATTGTTTTTTTCCAATTGGCGTACTATTATTTAACGGAATAAAGCCGTTATCACTTTGATACATTTCGCCACTATTATTGAAAGAATAATAACCGCGTTTATAATCAACATTTGAACAATTAGTATTTCTCGTATCACCATAAGATTTCCACTGATGATCATTCTGTCTTCTACTACCGCCCGGCATACTTAATGGTGATTTCTTCATTGTTTTTTATTTTAATACACTACACTTTTATTAGATTAATTCAACAAGATATTTACAAGCCAAACTAACGAGTACTTCCAAACGACGCCATCTTAGCTTTTTATTCGCTAGTGACACTAAATTAAACGCCTATGAACGCAAACGTGAGATCTTACTTCTGATTGGTTGATGCATTTTACAACGAGCCAATCACAATTCGATTTCTCGACCAATCATATCTCATGCTCAAATGTTTACCTTTGTACTTTAATTAGAATAAATATTTGTAATGTCATGTTTCATATACATTTTAGGTATGCGAGTACGTATGTTTGTTTTAAGAAAAAGATAAAATTCTGTAACATTTTTAATAATTATTTCTTTTTTTTTTGTTATTAAATTTCCTACACTTTTTAAAAATGTTTTCCTACAATTACTAACATTTGTTTATAGTGATTTCCCCTGAATTTTTTTTGAATGCTGTTACGTATAATACTTTATTTGTGATTATCTTTAATTTTAGACATTTAATTACTATGACAGATTATAACAATAAGAAAAAGAAATTATAATTAATTATTAACAGGTTTTTATATTTATACTTTTTTATAAATATTCAAAAAACATGATTTATTTGTATAATTTATGTTAATAATTAATCTGAAATTTTAGAATTGTTCTTGTTATATTTTTATCAAATAAAATATTATACAATCAGAAATGCAGAAGATTGTTTCTTTTTCGTTAGTAAGTATTTAATTTGATGATAACATTGATAGAGTTAAATTATATTAATAATTTTAATTTCAATTATAGATGTACAGCAAAATTTGTAATACTATTTCCAAGATGTCTCGTGCACAAATAACAACACTAAAGTTAAATAAACAAGAACTTCCTAAACAACCAGTTCCAGATTTAAAATTAACTGCGAAAAGATATTTAAAGTATGAACGTATTAAGATATATCAAAACAATATTTACAATCTAATAATCTAATTATTATTTTAGATCTGTAGAACCATTACTGAATGAAAATGAATACTGTAATACTAAAAGAATTGTTGAGGAATTTATTTCAGAAAATGGTTGTGGTTCTTCACTACATCAAAAATTATTGAAAAGATATGATAATACTGATAATTGGGTAAGAAGTAAAGATTTGATTTTCTTCCATGTTAAAACTAATCTAATCATATTGAAGATTCTTTTATTTATCTGCAGATGAGTGCTTGGTGGTTAAATACAGCATATTTAGGTTATCGAGCTCCTGTTATAGTTAATTCCAGTCCTGGTACCGTTGGTCCACCTTTAAAGTTTAATCGTAAAGAAGACATGTATATAACTGCTGCACATCTTATCAAAGCAGTTTGTGATTATAACGATATGGTAAAAAGGTAAGTTACATATAATAATTACTTTATAGAATTATAAAACTAATCCACAATTAAATCATTTTCCTTTAAGTGGAAAAATGAAACAAGAAATGATTCGCAATGAACCGCTAGATATGCAACAATATGGAATGATCTTAGGAACGCATCGTCGACCTGCTCCAAAGTGTGATCAACTAATACACACCGATGATGCAAAACATATTATAATAATGTGTAATAATAATGTAAGGTACATTTAATATATTTATATTTTATAGAACATTTTTCAACATATTAGCATTAGGTATTTGGTTATTTATTTTTATAGTTTTTTAAACTCGATGTTATTAAAAATTCGTGTACTTTAAATGAAAATGAAATTGGTGAAGCGATCAAAGATATTGTCAGTCGTTCCCAGACAAAAGGGAAACCTGTAGGAATTTTAACAGGAAATGATAGGGATACGTGGGCAGAAAATCACTGTTTACTTAAGGGTATTTACGTTCTTTTCATTTATTATGATTTCATATTTGTTTTTCAAATATATTTATGAATATCTGATGACATCAATTTATTTTTAATCCTTATTTAAGTACAACTTTTGAGTCATCCATTAAAACATCTTATCATTTTTAGAAAAGGGACATAATGAAAAAATAATCAAGGAAATTGAACAATCAATGTTCATATTATGTCTGGATAAAGAAATACCTAAAGAATCTTATCAAGACAAAAATAATGCTTCTGTTAGAGCTTTACAATCCTTAACTGGTTCTAATAGCGATTTAAATGCAGGGAATAGATGGCACGATAAAACTGTACAGGTAATGTTAAACATTTACAAACAATTATACTTGTTTTTGATCAAACTAATTAGCCACAATTATTTTCTACAGTTTATAATTTCTCCCGATGGTTTCATTGGATTAGAATATGAACATAGTCCATGCGAAGGTGTTCCTGTTGCTGTATTACATGATCATATTATCAAATATATGTAAATATAATACAATGAATATTACAGTAACGTAAAAACAAATTTATAGATATTTATTATCTTGTTATTAGCACATCCAAATTAAATGATGCAAGATGTAACCGCGTCAACACATACCCAAGAGCAGAATGTTTAAAATTTGAAACTAATGACGAAATAGATTGTGCTATTAAAAATGCTGCTTGTGTTGTAGATAAGTATGTGTGTCACAATTTTGATATATGAAACTATATAATTTTAATTAAATAACATATTTTTAAATATTATTATTTACAGTTTATCTAAAGATATTGACATGGAGTGTTTTACATTTAATGAATTTGGGAAAAATGAGATTAAAAAATGTAAATTAAGTCCAGACAGTTTCATACAAATTGCAATGCAAGTTACTTATTATAAACTTCACAATAAACCACCGGCTCATTATGAAAGTGCTGGATTAAGAAGATTTCAAAATGCAAGAACGGAATGTATCAGATCAACGAGTATTGAATCTGTTTCATTTGCAAAAGCTTTTAATGATAATAAATGTAGGGATGAAAAGCAATTGAAAGAAATGATGCTTAAAGCTGTAGATGCGCATAAGAAATTAGTATCCGAGGTTATTATAAACATTGCATAGTAGTTGTATGAAATGAAAGGTTTATAAATGCTAAATCTGTTTTTCTTTTTAGGCTACATTAGGACAAGGAGTAGATAGGCATTTGTATGGTTTAAAAATGATAGCTCTTACCGAATCATTGCAACTGCCAGAATTGTATAAAGATGTTGCATATACTAGAAGCACATATTTTAATTTAACATCAAGTCAAGTAAGAAATAAACATAATTATTTAACTTGTTCTATATTTTGATATTAAAATATTGTCTCATTAACAGGTACCTTACAAATCATCATCATTTATGTGTTATGGCCCAGTCGTACCGGATGGTTATGGTTGTTGTTATAATCCTAGATCGGATGATATTCTCTTTGCGTGTTCTTCTTTTAATTCTTGTAAAGAAACGAATACAAAAGAATTTGCTGAAACTTTAAGACAAGCTTTATGCAGAATGAGAAATTTATCTCTTGTTTGATCAATCATATTTGTATATTATATATCGTTGTAACAATTTATATTAAAACAATAAAATTATCTATTTCATTATAACACGAACAAAAATATGATATCTATTTAATTTTACAATTAATCAAATTACACATTCAAACACATTCGATTCGATATTTATCGAGTATCAACAAATCGATGTTTCCAATTGATTGTCTATTTTTCACTTTAATCGATTAGCTTTCACTATTTCGATTGACAAAACTAATCGAAAATCGATAATTTAAGATAAATAAATAAATAGTTATTTTGTATATGAATTAATTATTATAAATTTTTAATTAAAAAAAATGACCAAATGTTTTTTCAATTATTAACAAGGAATAAAATTTCCAATTTTAAAGCATTTATTTACTTCTGCATTTATATCCTGTAAAATGAATCGCTGTGTCAGCATTTTGTATCCATTTTTTTTATACATAAGTGATAGGAGATTAAGAAACGGAAATAATGTAGTTTGAAGCTACAATAATCATCAGTTGGTAATTACCAAAAGTTATCGTTTAGAATGATAGATAGAAAGTCGAGACAAAAGATTTTATAAATTTGTTCAATCACATAACCATTCAACGTTTCGTTCACGAGGTATTTATATTTTTTTTTTTCTTGATATTATTATATATTTAAATATATAACGTAAATAAAAAATATTAATATTATATTTTTGTGTGTGTAGGTTTATGGAAATATTATTTAAAAGATGGATTTAGTTAATATGTCCAATTGTTATATTCATGTTGAATAATATAATTTTCCTATGAGGAATAACCGATTTGTGAAGTTTGATAAATATTTAATGACAAGTGTTAAAGTTGTTTATTACAACATTGTATCTTGTTGAGTTTGAAAAGAAAAGAAAAGAAAAGAAAAAAAAAAGTATCAAGAAATTTTAAATATATATTATATATAATTATGCAAGAAGCATAGTATTTTTTTATGAATAGTTAATATTTATTATTATTATTAATATTTTTCAAATAGTTCTCCAACAAGAGAAACATATTTTTATATATATATATATTTTATTTTAAATAGTTAATTAATCGTTATAGTAATATTTTAAAGGTTGTTATTTTTTCTTCCATTATAAATCATGGCTAAAACACCTATAAGTATTTTACAAGAATTTGGAATGAAACAAGGTTATTTACCTGAATATACATTACTTTCTGAACGAATTGTTAATCATTTAAGTGTATTTAATTATCAAGTGAAATACAAAGATTTATTAGCTTTAGGTAAAGCATATAATAAAAAACAAGCTAGACATAATGCTGCTGAAAATATGTTAGCATTGATCAAAGATTTAACAATTAATGATGTTCCTAAAGATATAGTGTCAATGGAAGAAAATATTTGTCAAACAAAACAGATAATACCATTGAAAGAAAATCTTCCTCAGACAAAACAGATAATACCATTGGAAGAAAATATTTCCAAGACAAAACAGATATTGCAATATGAAGAAATTTCTTCTAAATTAGATTCGTGGAAAGTTAATTCAAAACCTGAAGATACTACAAATTACATTGGCAAATTACAAGTATTATTTATTTCAATTATTATTATTTAATTTTGCAAATTTTAATTACTAATATACAACTTTAATATACAACATATTTTCTTGACTTTCTTTTCAGGAATACTGCTTGATAAATAATTTAATACATCCAGAATACGTGGTTAATGATGTAAGTGGAAAGCCACATTTACAAAAGTTTACAATGGCCTGTAAATTGGGAGCAATAGTTGAAGAAGCGACATCGACTACAAAAAAACAAGCGAAACAATTAGCAGCTAAACAATTATTAAATCGACTTGGAAATTCAAATGCATTGATTTTAGTTGATAGATGTGATAAAAAGGCTAAAGACAAATCTGTTAACGAAAATAATGATGATAATGATGATGATGATATTCTAACTAAATCTGGCATAAGATTACTTAAACTTAATTCTTACGTTCCTGATAATGACATTAAAGAAAAATATAGAGAATTGACTAATAAAAATTGTATTAACGATAAAAATGTGGACAAAACGCAAGCTATTAAAAATTATCATTATTACATTAAAGAAATTATCCGCAGCAATATTAGTGGCGATAATAAGGACGAACAAATAGACAAAGTATATCATAATATAAAAAGATTTAAAGAAAGTTTATCAAATGTAATAAATGATAATAATATAGAACAATTACCATTTGATAATATTTTAAAATATATCAAAGAAGTATTGAAATTAAATATAGAAAAAAAGACTATGACTTGTAAAGATCCATTGCTAAAAGCAATTGCTTATAAAATTACTGCACCTATACCTGTTATACAATTTGGTATTAATAAGAATTTGGAAGTCGCAGAAGCTCATGCTTTACATAATATTCTTGACACAATAATGATTTATTTACGCTAAAATTAAATTACATTAAGAAAATACTGACGAAAAAGTGCCTATCTTTTAGTTAAATATTCCAAATAATTCCAAATGTAAATATATATATTTTTTTTAATATAATGTGATTATATGTTTATATATATTTTATATTGAATATTGAATAAAAAAATCAAATGTTGAGAAATTTATAAATTATTATTTTTAAACTGTTATCTATATACATGTATAAATATATATAAGCAAAAGAGAGTTGAATGTTCGATAAGGTTATGAAAGGTTATGAATTTATATTGTGGTTAGGTTTACACGTGTTTTAGTAACTGTTCTCGAACTTTAATTTAAAATATTACGTTAATGTAAATATTTTTGTTTTTCAACAAGAATAAATAGTTAATGAATAATAATTAGTAATATACAGATATAGCTAAATATATCAATAATATATATATATATATATATATATATATATATATATATGCTAGTATATATAGATATATAAATATACATGTATGATTTTTGGTGCAAGTTACAGTGTGCATAATGTGTCTTATATTATCTACATCTTTATTAATTATTTGAAGAGTGAATCTTAAAAATAAACTAATTAAAGGATTTTATGATCTTATCATTGTTTTGATATCATAAGAAAAAATATTCAGTGTTTTATAAAATTTCTGAAAACAAGATAAACTATAATTCTAACCTATAAATAAGTATTAAAATAATAGTGAAATAATGCAATTTAGTGTGAAACAATTATGTGTGAGATTAATGTCTCATACAAAAGTCTTAGAACCATTTACTACTAATTTAACAATGAAATGTAATTATGGTAGATGGGCGCATCGTAAACCAATAGCTATAGTTAATGAAAGTGAATTGTACAACGACGTTGATGAAAATAATGTAGATAAATTAAAAGTCGAAAAAGAGAAGAACAATGAAAGGACTAGAAACATAAAATTACAAAATACATTTTCTCAAAATAAAAACAATTTGTCAAATGCTATAATTAATAAGACAATAAAATCAAATGACAATAAAACAAACGTCAACGAATTGAGTAAACGTGTTACAAGTTTAAAAGAAAATGATCATATTATTATGTAAGTATATAATATTTTATTAATTAGAAATAATATTAATCAAATGTATTATTTAGATCTTTAATGATGAGTGTAAAGTCACGTAAGATGCGAGAAAGGAGCAATCTGATGTGTATGGAAGGCAACAGATTAATCAAAGATGCAATTGAAGCTGGACACAAACCAGAAACTATTATTTTTTCAAGATTATCTGATATCGAAGATTTGCCTTTGCATAATGAAGTCAAATTATACAAGATTCCATACAAGGCGATACAATTATGGAGTAATTTAACTACTTCACCAGGAATTTTGGGTAAGAGTATAAAATTGTTTAATACAACATTGTATATATATAATATTATTTGTTAAGAAATTTCATTGTGTTTTATTTTTCATTGTTAAGGTATCTTTCCAATTCCCAAAGTAGAAAATACAGAACCCTCACCTAATGCTTTACCTCTCACAATCATCTGCGACAATATTAGGGATCCAGGAAATTTAGGTTCTGTAGTTCGTGTAGCTGCTGGAGTTGGATGCGAGAAAATGATTTTATTAAAAGGTATCTTTTGATATTACACTTAAAGAGAAAAGGAATACAATTTCAAGTATATTTTTTCAGGATGTGCGGATTTATGGGATACCAAAGTATTGCGAAGTGCAGCAGGTGCACATTTTCGAGTACCAATATACACTTCTGTTACCGACGACCTCTCATCGTTCATATGCGATGGAATGAATGTTTTTGTCACGGATAACAATTCAATTAATAATGAATTACTTTTCGATGACTTCAATTCACAAACTAAATATTCCGTTTCTAAAATTTATGAAAGTTCAAATTTTAAGAATATAGACTTTCCAGAATCCATTGAAAATCTGGAATACTCAAAATTGAAGAAACTTATAAGGAACTCGCAATCTCGATTACCAATTATTCCATATTATGCCGTTGATTATTGCACAAATGAAATTGTAATAGTAGTGAGTGGCGAGACGGAAGGATTAAGTCTGGAAACGGTTAAACTTTTGTGGGAAAAACGTGCTGTACGTTTAAATGTACCTTTATTAAATAATGTAGAAAGTTTAAATATTAGTACGGCACTTGGAATAATAGCGTTTGAAATTCAACGACAGATTGTATTTAAACAAAAAGAATAAAATAATTGATATTAAAATCAGTACGTATAATAATTGTATGGCTAAAAAGAAAACATAATAGGATAAAATGTATTTTATTTTACTCAAGTTGTGTTATATATATATACTAGCTACGCGTTTGCTGTAGCCCAGTCTGATTAAATAGGAAAGAAAAAAAGAGAAAGTTTCTAAAATGTTACACCTTCCTTGTCCCAGACGAACTCGATTTCTGTCTTCCTGGCCCTGCATGGGAACCTCAATCTTTCCCTAGATGAAAGATGTTAAATATTAAAAATATTTAATTAAATGGAAATGAACATAAATATTGATAAATCAGACTGAGCCAAATTATGACGTTGTATAGATGAAGGTTAGTATTTAGAATATTAGAACATATTACTTATATTCAAATATCCCGCGAAAATATATTTACATATGTTTAAATGTGCCGCGCATTCACTAAATCTATAGTCAACAGAAGACGCTGGACTTACCTGTATCACAATTATTTTTAAAAAATTAATTAATTATTTTATAAATAAATTAATGTAATAAAAACATACCTGTATGCGAATACAAGGTTATGTCAAAATTTCAAAACAATCGATAAAGTACTTTTAAAGATTTTCTTAAAACATTGAAATACCTTATAAGTTTCTTTCAATTTACGCGGCAAATTGATATTTCCCTATAAACATGCGCAAAACCCCAAACGCGGTATCCTAGCATATTCTAGTAATGTTTCTAGATCTAGGAAAAAGTTATGTTGACATTTTTATGGGGAGTTTTTAACCCTTTCTCTTCGGCCATCAATATGCATATGATATCGTTAGTTGAGTTGAGTCATACGACAGGCTGCGGTGCGGTGTTAGGGGGGTAGAGGTAGGAGTTTTTTTTGGTGAGAAGGACAAGCCGAGAGCCATTCCTTCTTTCCGTCCTTTGTGCATTCATCCTATCGCGAAAACGTGGGGTGCGCGCGCATATTCCGTGTGCATCGCGTGCTGCGTGCAGATCGTGTGGTATGAAAGAGCTAACAACCTTTAGGATAGAAGGAGATAGGGAAAAGGAAAGAACTAAATTGTGAAAAAAAGATAGAAAGAAACGAAAGAAGAACGCGGGGTGGTGTACGTGTGATCCAACTCGTTGCATATCCGTCGTCGATCGTTCTTTAACGAGTCAATCGCTTAGAAATATTATTTGAATTGCCAACTGTATTCGATTACGATAATATCATCAGCTACGATATCTTGCCAAGGAAAGGGACTCAAATTTAACAAAGGTACAAGGAAATTTCTCATTGGAAAACGAAAGAAAAATGTGGGCCGGCGAAGATCAAACGCAACGTTATAAAACCAGGTTAGTCATTTTAACCTTATTATTATTATTATTATTCATTTGACGTTGCATTTCATTGCATTTATTATCTCCCAATTGATCATTGTGCGTTTATTTCTTTTTTATTTACCAAGGTTACCGCACGTTTTTATCTCTTATCACATTTCTAACCTTACTTTTATTTCTTTTTTTTTCTTCCTGTCTACCCTCCCCTTTCCATAATGGCCGCACTTTGTCGCGAGTGAAACGAATTTTTCTCGCAATTTGTGACACATTTTGTTCCCTCCCCTGCATTTATTATTTATCGTTTTCGTTTGCGTGTTGAAGAAAACAACGGCGATATGTTTCCCCTCTTTTATGTGCATAAAATGCACTTTCCATTCGCGCACGTTATTTTTACCGGCGTTTTGAACCAAAGGACAACGAGAAAGAATCCGTGGAAGGGATTTATATATATATATATGTTTTTAGTCATCAAAGTGAATCTGTGTATTTTGGTGTAGAATAACATTATGAATGTTTCCATTTTTTACATCGACAAGTGTCATCGGTAATTAAAGTGATGCATCATGACAAACTGTTGCATAATGAGTACATTAAAGGAACAGTTTTTGTTTTATGAGTAAGTTATGTTTTGTATGATAATTCCATTTTCTTTTCCACCTTTGCATTATTATTTCTGCAATCAGATTAATACAGTAAGTTGCAATTTTCTTATTTTGTTAGGTTGAAGAAGAAATCGTCAACTTGAAATCAAGTGGCATCAAAAGTTGTTGATACAACTATACAACGTATCCAATTTTTGCATAACAATTCTACTCTTCTACAAATGAAAAGAGTATGAAGATCTCTATGGTAGTAATAATTATAGAATTTATTTTTTTGTTAATCTAATATAGAACGACATATTGATTTATATTTCATTTGATTATAGTTTTCATCTAACCGATGTGAATCTGCTGAATCTTGTCATCCTCTTGTAAGAAGGCTGTAATAACGAAGATATATATATATGTTTCTTATTTTCATAATAACATTATCTTATTGCGTAAAGAGACATCGGAATAAAAAGAAGATTGTAAGGATGACACAAGAAAGAAAATATCTGAAAAGGAAAAGAATAAAATTGGAAAATGGTTAAACCGATGGAGCATTGTTTGTCTGATGAACAGGTAATAGAATTCCAAAGCAGTACAATAAATAAACACAAGAGCACATTTAACATTGTACATATTACATTTTACATCTTGCTCTTTGTTGCACTTCATTTGGTGTTCTATGCAATGCAAGAGATCAATCCTAATAAGATTTGATTTCATTCATCATCAAACATCATCGTGTTAACATAATAACATTGTAATTTGAATGAAGCTCGTTTGTTGTATATTTTCAAATAATATTATGCGTCTAATTTTGTTAAATATTTGATTTATCGCATTTCTTTTCTTTATATTTGAAAATGAATGAGATAAAAAGAAAATACTTGTTGGAGTATTATCATAAAACGGAATCGCATTATCGATGTCGGGAGATAAGAGATACGTGTGATTCATACTTGGCAAATAAAAAATATTTCGTCAGAATGGTTGTGCGAGCTTAGGTTCGCTCATTCGAGGGATACTATGAATGTATTGGGACGTAGAGACGAGATAGCAAGTAAGCAAGCAAGCAAGCAAGCAAACGTGAATCATACAAACACACTGTTCGTTGCGGAGCAGAACGGTGAACGTACTATGATGTTCAAAGTCAGACTGTGTGCTACTTAGAGATAGTGTCGAGTGATTGCGGTTACAGCACAACCTATCTCATAGCAGGTTGCTACACACAACATCTCTTCATTTCACGCTCCTTCCTGTTCCGCAATTCATCTAACGAGCGCCATGTGGCTACACATACCTCATGATTTTCCTCTTTCCTCTCTACCTACAGAATCTAAAGTTTCTTTTCTACATTTATGACCAAAATTATGCGAACATCATTCTCGTGATCATAAGTTAGATTGTCTTTTCAAATAACACGGTCATTATAATACACAATTGTCAAAGTTCTTTTCATAAGAATATCTATGTAAATTATTTTTCATATTTTTCTTTTTTTTTTTTTTTTTTTTTTTCTACACCATCCATGTAATCCGCTCGTGTATACTTTCTTTTATTCGTGTTCGATTATTCGTACAAGTCAAAGGAAAAGTTTTTATAGGAATAGATTTCACCGTTGACGATGGTATGGAAAGAAAATAAAAAGAAAAATCAGAGGAGGAGCGAAAGTAAATACGACATCCTCGAGGATTTCGTGACACTCCTCCTACTGACTTTCTTTGCATGTGCATCGACACGCTCGATAGGTTCCTTTCTTCTGTACTTTATTCCGTTTATAAATACTGTAACTTCTTAATGAAACGTTTCCGGAACGTGTATTATTATACTCTCTTATCGAACTTTCCAAATGAGATTTCAATATTGTGTTATGCGAATAAATCAAAATAAAGGTAGATTTAGGGTAGTAATAAAACATCAATTATGTTATCACTTTCTCTTGAAAGGATAATTATTTCACTTTGTTTGAGAATAGAGGTGATTCAAAAGCTTTTGTGTGGGTAGACCTTTAAATTTCGAATGAACTTTGAAACAAAGGAATATCTTAAAGAAAGAAGGACAAGTAACTTGTTGAAAATGTTTTAAATGAATTCCACAAGTGTGTTCTAGAAAAGAGAAGCACCGAGTCAAATAGAAATTTAGTGTAGTTTTGTTTGAAAATCTTCTTTGATAATTTGTGCATTAACCATGACCACCACTCGTTCGACATTGCTGCATGCAAGTGGCACACACCAACTTAAGTTCATTGTCCTTTTATACCTGTAATTAAACATTTTTTTTTTTTCTTTCTATTATTTCGATGATTATTATTTGAACTTTGAGAATCATCAACCGACTAATCGAATTCCCGTTTAACCATAATAAAATATATATGGTATGTAATTAGTTTGATTTCCTTGATTTGTGATCAAAGTTAAACGTTTGATATATCGAGAATATTATCTCTGATCGAATGTCGAGCGTCCGTTAATGTCAATCATGCCTCGATTGACATTGACAGACCAACCATTCTTTATTGTAACGCAGTTTAACGATTCGCTCTATTGAAGCATAACGAAGGCTATCTTTGATCGGTTCTTCCTGGTGGTCTTACGAGAAATATTTACCAACTATCATCATCATCATCATCGTCATCATCATCATCATCATTGATCTTTTGCGTCTTTATTTTGTATTTTTTGATAATCATCAACCAATTTTTGGTTTATATACCTAAACTCATAGATAATCAAATATTCAACTTACTGTAAATTACATTTATAATAAATGTACACATTAATTAGGTGTAAAATATTATAATAACCATCGTAAAAATAGAAAAATAAAAAATTAGGGTCTCTTTTTCTCGTATTCTATTACGAGCTTGACTCTAATGTTAGCTCATGGTATTTTAGTTTCGTGGTTACTTTGGTGTTCTTCTTCCTTTTACCTCGGTTATGTGTTGCTACGAACGTTTGCTGTTGCTGCTGCTGCTGCTGCTCACTCTGTGTGTAAACCGCTGCACGTCCGTTCGAAACGGAAATCATGTGTAGAACCGCATTTCGGTACCGTTCTTCGCGAACAAGAACAACTTTAATGCTCATTACGAATGTGATCCTTGTGGTTTTTTCTATTTTTTCGAATAACATAAGTTTAACGAACGTATCTATCCATCATATTTCACGATACGAATTTCGTAGAATCTAACAAGCATTGCAAATGGAATCAAATGCACGGTTATATCAAATTTTGTATCGTTGAGAAAAATGGCGGAAAAGAAAAGAGAAGAAAATTGTGAAGCTTTTTTTTCTTTTTATTTGCTAACTAGGATTCAATATAAATCTAAAATTATAATAACACACAAAAGTAATACAACAAATTAGAATGGAATATATAAAATAATAATACATGAAAAAATATAAAAAGCAAGGGATTAGTTGTGTGTTATATAAAAACCTGAAAAAAAACGTGAAATAATTGAGATTGTAATACAGTGCCATCTATCGAAAAATTACAATACTACTTAAAGACTTACATAACTTCAAAATAATAAATTAGCAATAAAAAATTGGTTCAAGTAGTTTCGAAGTTAATTGGAAACTAACAATGTGTGACACTAAATTTTGATTAGATACTTTAAACATTGTAAATACAATGTTAGTCAAGTTAATGTTTTGAATGTACGATCAACAAAATGGTAAGAACGTAAGATCTCCATTAAGTGTCCCATTGGTTAGTGCCCCAACGACACTAAAAACAACTTGCACACTAAGCAAATCGTTCGAGCTTGAATCCTTGCTTGAGAGAGAAAGAGAAAGAGATATCCGTGGGACTTTGAAGTCGTAGTCAAGGATAAGAAGGTATACATTCTCTTTTTGTTCAAAGAAACTATCCGTAGATAATAAAACATTTAAATAATTTATAGTTTGACCTTCCGGTTGAAAATCATTTTTTTTTTAAACACGTTAAACATTCTAGTCTATCATTGAATAATAAAAAAAAAATGAGAAGCAACCGGTATGTCCTTATTTTCTTAAATTAACGTGGTCAGAAGAGGGTGAGACAAACACACACATACACACATACATACATTTATACACAGTTGGAGGCTGTGAAAATGAATTGGGAAAGGAGTTGGGAAAAAGAAAATGAAGAGAGAAATCCTTTTGTGGAACGTGAGAGCAAAGTTATTTCATGGCGCCAAGGGAAGACAACGGAAGTAAGTGGCCGTCATACGAGAAGGAACGAACGAACACACAGGTTCTTCCCCTCTTACCTCGAGAAAAGGTGTTGCCGAGGATTATCAAAGTGGTGGTAGTAACGGAAGGTTGGCCTTCGTTGAGCCCATCACCATACACACTGTCTGTATACACACTGTAGCTGGGTTGCACTCTACCGAAACCAACAAACCAGACTTACTGCTTCGTGCATTCATTTTCTGGACGT